ATACTTAATCATTTGTGTGCAAGATGCATTTTGGGAGTGATTGACATGTGGCCCTGTGGCTTTAGGACATCAACACAGACCTTCACTTGTAATGAGATGTGGTACATTTGCATGCCAAAAATTCTCTGGAGACTGGACATAGGTCATGTTAAACATCCTTTTCTGCTTGTTTCTATTCTCCTTTAAAGGCACAATATGTAAGATTTTTTTATTCAAATATCCAAAAACCACTAGAACAGTGTTATATATTTTGCTGACTTGTGTACTTACATTATCCCAAATGTTTCGAAGAATGTTTAAATCCAGAGAAATAAGCAATTTTAACTAGTGACACGGACCGTGTCCATAGTGTCATTGTGTCGCCTACCAATAACGTCATAACCCCTCAGTTTTGTTTTGTAGAAAACATGGAAAAACCAAAGACACTTTAATATGTTGTGCGTTTTAATAGACCGGTGACTAGGGATGGGTACCGAAACCCGGTATTTAATCGGTCCCGGGGCTAAATTATGAAAGACCAGAGTATCGATAAACTCTGATGTCCTGCTTAATTATGATAGAGGAGAGAACTAAACATTCAAATGTCTGCTTACACTTTAGGCCTGTGGCTGTTTTATTAAGCTATTTTTATTTTTTATTTAGATTTTGGCTTCTAAGGATTATAGCCGCGTTTAGCGCAACTTTTTTCCCTTCACAGCGGTGCGCATTCATTCGTCCCTAAAACCCAAACATAAAAGTCAGAATCAGCACAATCGGTGATTGTTGAAAAAAGACCGTCTTATACTGTTGCTAAATTGATGTTTGATAATAATTATAGCTTTAATAAGTATTAATCTATCAATACATACACTGAAAACTGTAATTGCTTAACTTACTTGTAATACTTAATTACTTGTAATTACTTACCTGAACAGTAATGTTAGTAGACCTTCATGGAAAAATGAAAGCACTGTTTATTTCATTTCATTTGTACATTAGTTTTATTGTATTTGTCAGTTTGTTTTACTTTATTTCTTTGTTCATGTTTTTACTGTATCTTGTCTTATGTACAGTATAAAACACTAAAAATGCCTGCACACTGGTGCATTTACAAATTGATGTATATAATTTCATTAAATATTTATCTTACATTTCAGAATATAAAGCAATGTTAATTCAGCTCTTAATTTGTCATATATGTGTATGTATATATATATATATATATATAAAAACAAAAAGTACTGATAAGAATACCGTTAAAGTACTGAATCGATAAGCAGTATCGGTAAGAGTAGTAATACCGTTAAAACCTTAACGATACCCATCCCTACCGGTGACGAAGTAGCATTATAACAGAACTTTCAAATGTATCTAGTATGATAAAACAGCCCTGCTTTTTTCCCCCCACATACTCACGACCGGAAGGAGGGGAAGTGGTCGACTAGGGCTGCCACTAACGACTATTTTTATTTTGATTACTCTGTCGACTAATTTATCGATTAATCGATTAATCTAAACGAATAATTTCCCACAAAAAAAATCAACAATTTTACTTAAGAATATTTTATTAAACTATATTTTATTAAACCAAATGAAATCCAAATTTCTATGAAATCCTTTTTTTAAAGCAAAAGTAAAGTGCAACAGAGTGCAAGAAGCAAGTGTCCATCTCATAGTCCAAATCACTGAAATCAAAGTTCAGTATTATAGTGTAAGAATGACAACATATCCACGTGTTCTAGTCTACTAATAATAAAATAATAAGCAAAAAACACTTTTTAAAGGAGTATTTGCCAGAATTTATTTAGGAGAAAAATTTTAATGTGCAGTATTTCTGAAAAAAAAAAAAAAAAAACTTTAAAAAAAATAAAATCAAATCAATTAATTGGAGATGCTTTTGATTATTACAATTTAATGTAACCATTAAAATGGAATCCAGAAAATAATGGAAAACAGAATTTGATAAAGATAAAACTGTGAAACTCAATTCATTAGACAGGCTTTTTGATTAATACAATTTAATTTGACCATTAAAACAGTATAGAAAAATGAAAATGGAAAAAAAACCTGAATTTGGAAATAAAACTGATTTCATAGCGCCCTATAATTATAATTAATTTTTTTTGTGGTAATAAAAATAGATGTAAGTGAACAAAACTGTTAAAATACATAATGTATTATAAACAATAGAGCTAATGTACATTACGCATTACAACAAAGGCCTGCAGAGGGCGCCAATGGCCTGACGATTGTTTTTACACATTACTGTGCGATCTAATCCTTATTTAATATTGACGAAGCACCATTTAATTAAAATGTCCACTTAATCTTTAATATGTGGCCATTTCTTTAGGACATAAATGCTATAACCACTGTAATTAAAAGAATATGTGGACATCAAAACATGTAAACTCAGAGTGAGGGTTTGAGCTTTTATTTTGAAACCGCGATGTATTCTCCTGAGTTTGCGTAGATTTATAAATGATTTACCTTACAAATCTGATGAAATGGGGTTAACTAACAGGAACAGGAAACTAATATTGTGTTTTATGGATTCTCGTCCGTGAAATGCGGCACTTCCGGTATTTTGCCGGTTAGTCGACATGAGCAAAATGAAGTCAAGGATTTTTAAAAATCTAATAAAATCGACGAATCGCGACAGCCCTACGGTCGACTGTGGCATAATAAAAGCTCCGCTGCTTTCGAGCCATTGGGGATGAAGACGACAACTCCCATGATTCCACACTCAGTCACGATCTACGCCTTTGTCTATTTGTTTATTTTGAATACGCGCCCTCTAGCGGCGAAAATTACATATTGTGCCTTTAAATGTTATTGCAAGGCCACACTGTTACTCTCTAATGTCTTTTAAAACTGTTACCTTTAGAAAATGCCTTCATCCTAGACACAGCAGCTGTTCCATGTGCATCAGCCACACAGCAAACAGTGTAAGGCAGGCAGAGACAAAGCTCGCAGCAGACCGATGAAAAGCAGTAGCTAGCTTTCTTTGCTAATCATTAAGTAGTAGGAAACACCAAAAAACTTCCCTGGGATTGAATCCAAAAATGTCTGTTACCTATTCGTAATGTTGTTAAACCTCTAAATTAATAAGTCCGAAATGGAAAGGTTTTTCTATTGATACCTAAGGCTAAATTTAGCTTAGAGATAATCAACCAGAGGTTGAAAATGTTCTGCTCGTGATGATTTTATTTTTGGTGCACCATAGTAATTATTATGTATAAATAAATTTTGTTTGTTAGAGCATGCACCAAACAACCGTTTTTGTGTTATTTAGCTGCAAACTACAGGGTTGGCTTCCATAGGAATTGAGTGCCGTTTTAAATGTTTGTTTGTTGACATGCAAGGAAATCTTGAGGGTGCCTTTTCCATTTTCTTTGACTCCAATGTTCCTTTTTGTTTTAAAGCAGAGTTGGTTCTTTTATAAATAAGGGCCATTGTGCATATAAACAAACAAAAAATGAAGCATATTGTTTTCAGTGTTGGGCAGTAAGGCATTACTTTGTAACGCGTTACTGTAATTTGATTACTTTTTTAGTAACGGAGTAATTTAACGCGTTATAATTTTCAAAATAGTAATTAGAGTACAGTTACAAGCCGAGGTCTCTATACGTTACTGCCGCGTTACATTGCTGACAGAATGCAGTGTTTTATAATCTAGAGATTGTAAAAAGGATGGAGCATGCGCACTGTCGAGTCAAGTGCCAGTAGATTAGAGACCTGCTCCCGCGAGACCCGACGCAACAGAGTGCAGCGCGAAATAAAGTAATCAGAACCATAACGTGATTACTTTTAAAAGGAGTAATCAGTAATTTGATTACATTTTCAGAGTAACTTGCCCAACACTGATTGTTTTCCTATATGTTAGTTGTATTGTACGCTTCTTGAGGAGAAAATGCTGTAGGGGAATTTTAAGAAACAACGGCTGGTGTATTTTCACACTGCCCACTTGAACTCCCCCCACCCCTGTGAGATCCAGTTGGAACTGGAAATTTCTAGCCACTGCTGGCTCCCTGCCCACTCCCACAGGCCAGCCCCTATCAGCCGCACTTCTGAGAGCAAGAGCGAGTGAGAAGAGAGGGCAGTGCAAAGATGTAAACAGACAAAAGGAAAGCCATGTATATGCCTGAATCATTGAGGAAAGAAGTATCCACTGTAATTTCTGTTTCAGTTTTAGGCAGTTAATATATTTATATGTAGCATTTTAAATGTATAAGCATAATGAAAGAAAAATGGATTTGTGTATATGTATTTATTTAATTATTATTATAATATTACAATTGTGCAAGCTACCAAATGACTTTATTTGAATAGAAGAACCAAGATTTACACAGATTTAAATTTTGAACAAATTTCAGCTTTTCATGCAGTCATCTGGTAGCTTGCACATCAGTGGCTATTTGGATATGTAGAGAAATAAAGCATTAATTCACTAATTGAAACTTGAAAATGACTAGCCTAACACCAGTGTTGTAGTTATGTTGATTTAGTAGACCGCCTCATGCAGATGAATGTCAGGTGTGCTTGCCAGTCCTTTCTGTGTGAGTAGAGGAATTAGTTTTAGATATCCACCTTTTTTTTTCTCTGTAATACTCCGTTGCAGCTGCCAAATAAGATTACCTAGAGTGTGGTAGATACTTTCACTGTTAAGAGGCACTGTTTCTTTTTTGCAATACTGACAGAATTTCTTTTTTGCAATAGTGCCTCTCTGAGGTGGGAAAATAAACTGCACGAATAAACTGTATTAGCTGTTACATATATTATCTTTATTATATGTACTATATGTTTAGTAGTTAGGTTTTGTAAATTCCCTTGAAAGATTCACCAAAAAAAAAAAAAAATCTTATGAGGCTATATGTTTGCCGATGTTGTTATTGATTGATAATCGTTCTGTTCTGCAAAGTTCTGAACTACAGCATTTTTATAGCACTATGTATTTGTTAGTGTTAACCTTTTGTTACAGTCTACATTCTAAGGAGGTTTGTGTTTTTGTTCTCTCACAGTAGTGATTCCAGCAGCAGTTCCAGTGATCAGTCTCCAGCTAGATCTGTTCAGTCAGCAGCTGTACCTGCCCCTCCTGCTCAGCCCCTACCTTCACTGGACAAAGATGAACCTCGCAAAAGTTTTGGTATCAAAGTGCAGAATCTCCCTGTGCGCTCAACAGGTGAGCAGGGCTTAAAGTTCTCCGGCGTGCAGCCTTTGGCTGCGGAAAAAAATAGTCCTACATTAAAAAAAAATCTTGTTGATTGATATCACTTTCGAGTCCATGAGTTCGCCTACCAATGGTATGAGAGGAGCACAGCTTTCACTCTCAATCAAACTAACATTACTAGCCAATCAGAATGTTTTGCGCTTATAATCATGAGACGCACATAATAGTATCCAATTGCGGAGTCGCAGCCCTGATGAATGGAGAAGCGCGACAAAAAGCAGGCGCAATGGTCAAATATGTCCATCTAGCACATATTTACATAGAATAACTAATTAAAAAGCAGCGGAGCTTTGTAAACAGCTCAGAGTAATCATGTCATCTCCATAAAACGATATGATTGCCAGAACAAATTTACCGGGATTTTTGAAAAGGTCCTGTTCACACATGATGGTAATTTACCAGTACGGTATGTGTGAAAGGGGCCAAACTCTTCCTCTGCATATGCCGTGAATTTTAACGTTCATCTGGAAAAACAGTGTGTATTATCTCACTAGATATGTGACGTAAATCATTTAGAAACCTTTGCCAACACAGGAGAGGCATATTACATTATGTATTTTAATAGTGTTGTTCAATACAATTTAATTTCTTGGTTTTTATATTTTATTTGAGCCAATTATTATTGCCTCATCGTTAGTTTATATATAAATAGTCATACTAAAGCCTGGTTTTCACTTAGGTCTGTTTGTTACTAAAAAATATCAGATTACTTAATTACCAAAATAAATAATC